TCAGGATGGTGTCAGGATGGGGTGGCTGTGGGATGGGGTGGCCAGGATGGGGTGTGTGTGTCAGGATGGGGTGTGTCAGGATGGTGGGTCAGGATGGTGTGTCAGGATGGGGTGTGTGCATGTGATTGTGTGTGTCTCAGGATGGTGTCAGGATGGTGTGTGTCAGGATAGTGTGTGTGTCAAGATGGTGTCAGGATGGTGTGTGTGTCAGGATGTGGGGTGTGTGTGGTCAGGGATGGGGTGTGGCCAGGATGGGGTGGTCAGGGATGGGGTGTGTGTGTCAGGATGGGGTGTGTCGGGATGGGGTGTGTCAGGATGAGGTGTGTGTCAGGATGGGGTGTCAGGATGGGGTGTGTGTGTCAGGATGGTGTGTCAGGATGGTGTGTCAGGATGGGGTGTGTGTCAGGATGGGGTGTGTGTGTCAGGATGGGGTGTGTCAGGATGGGGTGTGTCAGGATGAGGTGTGTCAGGATGAGGTGTGTGTCAGGATGGTGTGTGTGGTCAGGATGGGGTGTGGCCAGGGATGGGGTGGCCAGGATGGGGTGTGTTTGCCAGGATGGGGTGTCAGGATGGGGTGTGTGTCAGGGATGGGGTGTGGGTCAGGATAGGGTGTGTCAGGATGGGGTGTGTGTGTGTCAGGATGGGGTGTGGGCCAGAATGGGGTGTGAGGATGGGGTGTGTGTCAGGATGGGGTGTCAGGATGGGGTGTCAGGATGGGGTGTGTCATGGATGGGGTGTCAGGATGGGGTGTGTCAGGATGGGGTGTGCTTTGTGGATGGGGTGTGTCAGGATGAGGTGTCAGGATGGGGTGGTCAGGATGGGGTGTGGCCAGGATGGGGGTGGCCAGGGATGGGGGGTGTCAGGATGGGGTGTGTGTCATTGGGGGTGTGGCCAGGATGGGGTGTGTGGGTCAGGATGGGGTGTGTGTGTCAGATGGGGTGTGTCAGGATGTGTGTCAGATGGGGTGTGTGTGTCAGGATGGGGTGGGCCAGGATGGTGTGCTCAGGGATGGGGTGTGTGTCAAGATGGGGTGTGTCAGGATGGGGTGTGTGTGTCAGGATGGTGTCAGGATGGGGTGTGTCAGGATGGTGTGTGTGTCAGGATGGTGTGTGTGTCAGGATGGGGGTGTGGCCGGATGGTGTGTGTGTCAGGATGGTGTGTGTGTCAGGATGGGGTGTGTGTCAGGATGGTGTGTGTCAGATGGGGTGTGTGTCAGGGATGGGGTGTGTGTCAGGATGGTGTGTGGCCAGGGATGGTGTGTGTGAGGATGTGGGGTGTGTGTGAGGATGGGTGTGTGTCAGGATGGGGGTGTGGGCCAGATGGGGTGGTCAGGATGGGGTGTGTCAGGATGGGGGTGTGGCCGGATGGGGGTGGCCAGGATGGGGGGTGTGTGTGGGCCAGGATGGGGTGGCCAGGATGGGGGTGTGTCAGGATGGGGTGTGTGTGTCAGGATGGGGTGTGTGTCAGGATGGTGTGTGGAGATGGTGTGTGTGTGTGTCAGGATGGGGTGTGTGGCAGGATGGGGTGTGTGTCAGGATGGTGTGTGTGAGGATGGGGTGTGTCAGGATGGGGTGTGTGTGTGTGTCAGGATGTAGGTGTGTGTGTGTCAGGATGGGGGTGTGGCCAGATGGGGTGTGTGTGTCAGGATGGGGTGTGTGTGTCAGGATGGGGTGTGTGTGTCAGGATGGGTGTGTCAGGATGGGGTGTGTGTGTCAGGATGGGGTGTGTGTTTCAGGATGGGGTGTGTGTGTCAGGATGGGGTGTGTGTCAGGATGGTGTGAGGATGGTGTGTGTGTGTCAGGATGGGGTGTGTCAGGGATTGGGGTGTGTGTGTGTCAGGATGGGGTGTGTGTCAGGATGGTGTGTGATGAGGAGGCCAGGATGGTGTGTGAGGATGGGGTGCTCTAGGATGGTGTGTGTGTGTGTCAGGATGGTGTGTGTGTGTCAGGATGGGGTGGTGTCAGGATGGGGTGTGTGTGTCAGATGGTGTGTGAGGATGGGGTGTGTGGTTAGGATGTGGGGGTGTGTGTCGGGATGGTGTGTGAGGATGGTGTGTGTGTGTGAGGATGGGGTGTGTGTGTGTCAGGATGGGGGTGTGTGTCAGGATGGTGTGTGAGGATGGGGTGTGTGTCAGGATGTAGTGTGTCAGGATGGTGTGGCCAGGATGGGGTGTGTGTGAGGATGGTGTGTGTGTGAGGATGGTGTGTGTCAGGATGGTGTGTGGTCAGGATGGTGTGTGTGGCCAGGATGGTGGTGTGTGTGTCAGGATGGTGTGTGTGTCAGGATGGGGTGTGTGTCAGGATGGTGTGTGTCAGGATGGTGTGTGTGTCAGGATGGGGTGTGTGTGAGGATGGGGTGTGTGTGAGGGATGGGGTGTCAGGATGGGGGTGTGTGTCAGGATGGGGTGGCCAGGATGTGGTGTGGCCAGGATGGGGTGTGTGTCAGATGGGGTGGCCAGGATGGGGTGTGTGTGTCAGGATGGGGTGTGTGTCAGGATGGTGTGTGAGGATGGTGTGTGTGTGTCAGGATGGGGTGTGTGTGTCAGGATGGGTGTGTGTCAGGATGGTGTGTGAGGATGGGGGTGTGTCAGGATGGGGTGTGTGTGTGCTTGTATTTTAAAATAGGATGGGGTGTGTCAGGATGGGGTGTGTGTCAGGATGGGGGTGTGTGTGTCAGGGATGGGGTGTGGCCAGATGGGGTGTGTGTCAGGATGGGGTGTCAGGATGGGGTGTGTGTGTCAGGATGGGGGTGTGTGGCCAGATGGTGTGTGTGGAGGATGGTGTGTGTGTGTCAGATGTGGGGTGTGTGTGTCAGGATGGGGGTGGGCCAGGATGGTGTGAGGAGGGGGTGTGTGTCAGGATGGGGGTGTGTCAGGATGGTGTGGAGGATGGGGTGTGTGTGGCCAGGATGTGGTGTGTGTCAGGATGGGGTGGGAGGATGGTGTGTGTGTGTCAGGATGGGGTGTGTGTGTCAGGATGGGGTGGGTCAGGATGGTGTGTGAGGATGGGGTGTGTGTGTCAGGATGGGGTGTGTGTCAGGAGGGTGTGTGTCAGGATGGTGTGTGTCAGGATGGTGTGTGTGTCAGGATGTGGTGTGTGTCAGGGATGGGGTGTGTCAGATTAAAAGGCCAGAGGTGGCCAGATGGGGTGTGTTGCCAGGATGGGGTGTGTGTGTCAGGATGGGGTGTGTGTGTCAGGATGGGGGTGTGTGTCAGGATGGTGTGTGTGGGAGGGATGGGGTGTGTGTCAGGATGGGGTGGCCAGGATGGTGTGTGAGGATGGGGTGTGTCAGGATGGGGTGTGTCAGGATGGGGTGTGTCAGGATGGGGTGTGTGTCAGGATGGGGGGTGTGTCAGGATGGGGTGTGTGTCAGGATGGGGTGTGGGCCAGGGATGGGGTGTGTGTCAGGATGGTGTGTGAGGATGGTGTGTGTGTGGCTTGTGGATGGGGGTGTGGGTCAGGATGGGGTGTGTGTGTACAGGATGGGGTGTGGCCAGATGGGGTGTGTGTGTCAGGATGGGGTGTGTGTCAGATGGTGTGTGTCAGGATGGGTGTGTGGGTCAGGATGGGGTGGCCAGATGGTGGTGAGGATGGTGTGTGTGTGTCAGGATGGGGTGTGTGAGGATGGGGTGTGTGTCAGGATGGTGTGTGAGGATGGTGTGTGTGTGTCAGGATGGGGGTGTGTCAGATGGGGTGTGTGTCAGGATGGTGTGTGAGGATGGGGTGTGTGTGTCAGGATGGGTGTGTGTCAGGATGGTGTGAGGATGGTGTGTGTGTGTCAGGATGGGTGGGGTCAGGATGGGGGTGTGTGTGTCAGATGGGTGTCAGATGGTGTGTGAGATGGGTGTGTGTGTCAGGATGGTGTGTGAGGATGGTGTGTGTGTGTCAGGATGGGGTGTGTGTGTCAGGATGGGGTGTGTGTCAGGATGGTGTGAGGATGGGGTGTGTCAGGATGGGGTGTGTGTGTCAGGATGGGGGTGTGTGGGCCAGGATGGTGTGTGAGGATGGTGTGTGTGTGTCAGGATGGGGTGTGTGTCAGGATGGTGTGGCCAGGATGGGGTGTGTGTGTCAGATGGGGTGTGTGTCAGGATGGGGTGTGTGTCAGATGTGGGGTGTGTGTGTCAGGATGGGGTGTGTCAGGATGGTGTGTGAGGATGGTGTGTGTGTGTCAGGATGGGGTGTGTGAGGATGGGTGTGTGTCAGGATGGTGTGTGAGGATGGTGTGTGTGTGTCAGGATGGGGTGTGTGTGTCAGGATGGGGTGTGTGTCAGGATGGTGTGTGAGGATGGGGTGTGTGTGTCAGGATGGGGTGTGTGTCAGGATGGTGTGAGGATGGTGTGTGTGTGCTGTGATGGGGTGTGTGTCAAGATGGGGTGTGTGTCAGGATGGGGTGTGTGTCAGGATGGTGTGTGAGGATGGGGTGGCCAGGATGAGTGTGAGGATGGTGTGTGTGTGCTTATTAAAAGGGTATTAGGATGGTGTGTGAGGATGGGGTGTACAGGATGGGGTGTGTGTGTCAGGATGGGGTGTGTGTCAGGATGGTGTGTGAGGATGGTGTGTGTGTGTCAGGATGGGGTGTGTGTGTCAGGATGGTGTGTGAGGATGGGGTGTGTGTGTCAGGATGGGGTGTGTGTGCAGGCCAGCACAGGCTGCGGTGGCAATGGGCGAGGGCGGTTTCTTGCCAGAGACCAAGTCTTTCAGCAAATGCCTGACAACTGACAGCCTCTGAGCTGCTTTACCCCAATAGCTTGGTTGGAAGGAAGACATCTGTGGCCCCAAAGCCAAATAAATCTGCAGACAGTATCAGAGCATCCAAAATGGGGGCTCAAGGGATTCTCTGGTTAAGGCTCAAATTGTTGGAATAAGGATTTCCCCCAAATGGCTACAGGAAAGAGAAGATGGGACTAAAGTCATGGGCTGTGGGGAAGCAGAGCGGGATCTGGACCCACGCCTGGGTCCCAGCAGAGACCCGCCAGGATTCTTGAGATCACGCCGTGCACATGGAAGCCACAGAATTTATTAGAATTTGCGGAAGTGCGAGATAATGTACCACAAAATAGTTTGATTTTACAACATAAAAGAAGTTGTCAGTGTACACAGGGTTGTTAGCAAAAAGGGGAGGCAGGGCAGTTTCACATTTTTTGAAAGGTGGTGGACGACAACTACACTTGTCCTCAAAGGAAAATAAAAGCAGGAGAGACCCAGCAGAGACCAACCTGATTCGCAGTTAGCATCGGAATCTAAATCTAGTATCACAACTGTAAGAAACTCTAAGAAAACTATTAGAAAAATAGAACATCAAACAAGCAAAAAAATATACAAATGTACATAATAAAAAACATACAACTCTTAATAATGGCTCCATGTTCAGTAGAAGAAAACATTTACCAGAGAAACCACAGCTATTCAGGTTTGATAATAAACCAACCCTCATTGGTATCATTACCCTTAGTGCTCCTTAAACTCGTTGAAGCTGAAAGGCACAACTTAAGCAGGAAACTTATCTTAAATATATATTATAACTTCTCAAATGGGAAAATAAGTCCCAAACTTAATAGTTTGTCGTCAAGAAACACAAAACCATTTGCCTTGTTAATAAATTAACAGTCTGAATGCATCTTTCCATCCCTGCTTCCTGACCCTGCTGGACACACTAACGAATACCCTGAGAAAATCTCTCTAAGCTTAGCCAAGGCACTCCATCTCCTGTGGGGCTTTCAGCTGGCACTCGGCACATTTGTAGGATGACCCAGGAGGGCTCCATGGTAACTGTGCCCCGAGACTCCAGGCCCAGCCAGGTCCCAATGGCGAGAGCATTGTGGCTCAGGGATGCACTGGCACAGAAAGGCTGGACTCGAGGAATCGAGGGGGGAAGATGGAGTCGGCTGGCATTTTTTGCCTTAAAAATCCATTAGGAGTCATAAGCGTGATGACACATGGAGTGTAGCTTCTCGCACCACTGGATCAACAACAGTCAATTTAATGACTCAGACAAAGTCCACAGGAGCCTGGCAGAATGTACATCTCCCTCTCCCTTAAGAGTCTTACATATAATCTTATGACGATGGCAAACAGATATATCTTAAATTACACATAACAATTATACATAACATATATCCAGATCCGTCTGCCAGCGAACTCTGCAGCAGTTCCACATACGAGCCTCAGAGCCCCACCACCCAGCAATTTCCCCGTCCTCGGAACTGTGTCAGGAGACCACCAGCGCACGGACACGAACATGCCTCTCACGCGCCCCAGAACACAGCTGTGCTGGGCTTGGGCACAAAGGCCCCTCACTCCCTGTCTTCACGGTGTGGGTTCTTGGGTGCCAACAACATAACTGTCAGCTTTTATTAAGAAGGAAGGGTCTGCGTAAAAATGGGATGTGTGAATCAGAAGGGGGCCCTGGCACAGAGCCAGGCGGGCTTGCTTTAGCAGTGAGTGCTGCGTCATGCAGTGCCCAGGACCTTGCCTATAAGCCTGGGTGAGGCCCCTGTGGGGCATGTCCACGTGCCCCCCACCAGGACTCATTGCTCTGTCTCCAGTCTCCACCATGGGTTGGGCTGGAGGCCACACCACGTGGGACTGCAAACACCAGCCAGTTCACAATGCCTGCTTGCAGCAGGGGCACGGCAGGGAGGAGCTGGCATCATCAGATTTCCACCCGTCTGGACGAAGGTGGGCGGGCCATGCACCCTTCCAGCTGTGCACATGGATGTGCTGACGGTGCAGGAGGGAGTGTGTCAGGGCCTTGGCGACTGGGGTAGGTGGAGAAGCCCACTGAGCCCACCGTCCTGCGGTCACCCCTGGCTTCGTATCGGCTCTTGGCCACTGTACTAGAGTCAGCACAAGGGACCAGGGAGCTGGTTGCCTGAGAGAGAGAAAAGAAGTTGCAGTGGAGAGAGAGTTTTTGCTGCTGCAAAAACCAAAAGTGGGGGGAGATCTCAGCAATTGTGACAACAGCATACACTTAGCGACCTTTCCGAGACAGCCTGGGGAAAATGCATCTATCTCTGTCCTCTTCATTTGGAAAATTAAATCCGCTGCACAAAGCCTTGGCCAAGGGGGTGTGAGCAGGGATGGTAAGCAGAGTGGGGGGCATGCAGAGGCCTGGTCTCCTCCGGATGGTGCTCCTCCCCACTGCGGAGCTGCCCTCCTGTAAGCCGGCTCCTGAGCCAGCCACCAACAAGGCCCCCGCTGCCTCCCTGGAGACCCTCTTCATCCCTGCCTTCAGCAGAGGTCCTGAGGCAGGCGGGCTGGGGATCTGCTGGGTTTGCTGCCTCATGAATTTGGGCCTTCAGAGGTCATGAACACATGCAGGCCAGTCACGGGGGTTGTGGGAGACAGGAAGGGATGTTTACCCATCACAAATGGGTCTTTCCAATGACGGTATTTATTTGTGGCTGGTGCACAGATAAAAGTAGACACAATACTCCCTTGGCGAGTGTGCCTCTAGTAATGTGTAAGTTCTGACTATGTAGGAAAATCCTGGCCAGCGGAACTAAGAATATTCTTGTTTGGGCAAGGGAACTAAGAGATGTGAAACTATCAATGTGTTTGCAAAGAAATGAGGGATGTGATAAGAAAAAAGTCTATTAAAATGGTGAGGCTTACTCCAGACACCATTGCTTAAATGACTCCCCTCGCACACAGCAGAGAAACCCCCTGGCAACTGCACAAAAAACTACTCATAAAAGCACGGTGACCAGTGAACTATTATGCAAGGCACCTCCACGTGTCCTTTCCTAACCAGGAAGCCCGTCCCCTAAGGAGGGGGCGCGGGGGGGTCCCATCCCTGCCGAGCCTAGGCGTGCTTCCACATCGAGCTTTAAGGCCTCAGACTCCCAGCTGTCCGTGAGCCCTCATGATGAGACTTGGAGCAGGGGAGACACCTTCTCAATCCACAGAATGATTCACGGCGCCCACTGAAATGTCAAATGTCAACTCTAAATAGTCTATTGGGTGCTGTCTTCACAGAAATTTCAGCCAGAAAGAAAAACTAGAGAAAAAGAAAAAACAAAAAAAAGCAATTCTCTCCTACCATTTCACTTTTCTTGGAGACTGTCTATCCCTCGAGTTCTCTTTGCTTATGTAGAAAATAACGGAAAAGAAAATCAAGCAAATAACTACCAGGTCCTAAGAGACGAGACAACCAAAACCCCAACAAAATAAGTTAGTATTTATCAAAATATGTTACAGCACCAATCTATATAAATGTCAATACCTCTCTTTGGAAATCGGAGCTTTGGGCTCTTTTGATGCTCCCTCTGGAACATTCAAAATGACATCAGAATAAAGCTCCCAGCAAGGTGAGGCCCAGCCCATGGCTGCCCACCTGCCCTCCACTGGCGTGTTCACAAATTCTTGCACTTCTCTCCGAGAATCTTCTGGGGGCACAGGGAGGACACAAGTGCCCTCAATTTATCAGGCTTCTACCAGATTTGTGTCAAAGGCCAGACTAGGAAGAAATGGAAAGGAAACTAAGTTTTGAGACCAACATTTCCATTTCCCCTGGCGTCCAGAATGCCTACCTCCCTTTCCCTCCCTCATCAGCATGGGCCTTCTGTCTCCTGAAGTCGACTCTCAATGGAATGCTCCACCCACATTCAGGTTTCCTTTGGCTTCCATCTACAAGGAGTGTGCGTGAAATGGTGTTGGCCGCAGGCCCCAACCCGGGTAAGACAGGCCGGGGTGGAGTGCATTGTAGCTATGGGGGTGGGGAGGATGCTCGGGTCTGTCCCACTTGTGGAGGCGTGGGGTACGAAGCATCCAGATGACAGACACACAAAAGGGACAGCAATACGCCTGGAAATCATCTCCCCTACGAACCACACATCTCAGCAATACGCCAGCCACAGGGGTGATGACGTGGTCATTTCCACGTTCATGTTATGCCCTAACTTAATCTGGGGGAGTGAGTCACAATTTCATGGACTGTGGATTGATTTCAATTTCATCACATCACAGAGAGGCCAGACAGCTCATGTCAGGGCCAGAAACGCATGCCCCCGACATGTCCTAAACCCGCACTGAGCTGCCACCAGCCTTGAGAGCTTTCCAGGAGCCACCAGACTGGTTCCAAAGCATGGGAGGGTGAGACTGAGTGAACGGTGGCGACGCACAGGAAACACGCTTCTAACTCGGCCGCCGTGTGGCCAGTCCTGCAGATACAGTCTCATGTTCCAGTTACTCAGGACACAGCCAGTCAGAGAAGACGGCAGGAGCAGCAAGAACTGGCCCAGGCCTGGAGGCCATGAGCTGAAGAAGGTCCCTGGTTTACATACGTGTGCACACACATGCATAAGCAGAGTAGGCCCTAATGGGAGCGATCCCTTCTTCCTCATTTGAGAGGAACCAGCTGCCCCCAGCCCCGCTGACCAGCCAGTCACGGTGTCAGAGCAAAGCCCTGAGAAGCTAAGGGGCAGCCCTAATGACCCATCTGAACGCAACGGGAGAAGGACAACAGGCCTGATTTTCCTTTTTAAGCGCACTACTGTCGTTTGGCTCTGAGGGTGGGGAGCTGCTGGGGACACACTGTTTTGTGGTACTCATCTGGCTTGATAGCTGGGTGTCTGGGGCTGAGCGGGAAGATGGTTGCGAAAGTTTGGAGTATGCACAATTTCAATCCCAGAACAGTCCCCGGGGAGGAAGGCCTGGTTCCCAAGATAAGGAGAGAAGGTGACCTCCGTTCTGCCTGAGGCTGTGGCAGATCCGGGCTGAGCTGATAGGGGAGGAACTGTTTGTTCAGAGAAGTGAGGAGACACAGTGGCCGGCTGCAGCCTAGTGGCCCCAGCCAAGCAGCTGTCTGGAGGTGACCAGGACCTGGAGAGCCGGCTGCAGAGCCGAGGGTGGGCTGGGGCTGCAGTTCAAGTAATTGCACCTTCAGCTGCAGTGAGGGTGTGGATGCAAGTGGTTTCTGTTGCACTGGTGGGGAGCGGGGGGTACCTCCCGGTCCTCTGGGGGCGTCCCTCGGAGCTGCTGCCACTTCCGGGGGGCGGGGCTGTGCGTCACTTGCACTGGTCCAAGTTGCCGTCAGGAGTCCTTGCTTGGTCAGCATCCAGGGACGCCTCCTCGCTGTGCCACAGGCCGTAGCCAAAGTAGATGATGAAGCCTGCGGGCCGACAGCAGAGACGGGCGTGAACAGAGCGCTGGTTGCACCACCGCAGGCAGGGCTGGGAGCCCAGGGTAGCCCCGCAGCAAACCCTCTCAGGCAGCCTGCCCCTCCCTGGCATGAGCCTGCAGCCAGCAGCCCTTGTGACCTTTCCACATCTGGAGCAGCTGCCACGCGAAGGCCACTGCGACATTTGGCAAAGCCCCACATTCCTCTGGACAGCCTCATGCTGCAGCATTTCCTGAGCAGACAGAGCAGCTGGGCCAGGGCCACCCGAAGCCGTCGGGTCCTTCAGCTTAACCCCCTGATGCCCCCTGAGGCCACAAGAGTATTGCGAATGTGCACTATGGAGATGGGGTTTCCCGCAGGTGCTGGTGGTCTCCAGGCTCTCAGCCTGGACAGTCCCACTGCCCGTTTCCTCCACGTAACTGACCATCAGACTGCAGAAGCCACCGAGCCCCGGGAACGGACTTCACACAGAAGTCCACAGTCTGTTCATGTGCCCAGGACTCCGGGGTGGGTCCAGGACCTACGCTTCTAACCACCTGCCCAGGGAATGTGGCCAGATGGCCCCAGGTAATTGGGGCCACCTTGGGTGGTAGACATAGGAAAGAGGCCTGAAAGCAAGGACTCAGCCACCCAGAGCCCAGGAAAGGAGCTCAGGCTCCCAAACACAGGGACTTCAACAGGGATGCTGGGAAGAGGTACCCTCTGCCTTCACCAGGCCTTGAGGAACTGGCCAGTGGGCTGTGAGCAGTCTTTTCTCAGAAAGGCTCTAGGAGACGTCTGTCTAACTAGATATGGGCTGGACTTTGTAGAGAATGAGGACCCCCCCTAGTGCCAGCAGACAACAGGCCGCAAAGTACTTTCTGGAGGAAAAGCACCCCTCGAGGGTCCTGGGAGATCAGGCAGCAGCCATCTGCCCGTAGCATGCAAACTCGGGGCTGCGAGGCTGTAGGGACATGGTCCTGAGGGGCAACGGCCAGGGCCACTCTCCTGGCTATCAGCACTACAACTCGGATGCTGAAGGGAAGGAAATGGGTCCCTCCCCTCCAGCCCCTGAGGCGAGACGCCCAGAGGGGTGGGACTCGGCTGGCCCTACAGGCTGCACCCACCCCTGGTGATCTATCTCATGTGGGAGCCCCCTAGCCCAGTGGCATCTCCCATAGGCTCCAAAGCACTCTCCTTCCACAGAGACGATGCCATCACAGAGAGCCCATGACACCCACCCCTGCCTGGGCCTAGTGTCCATGCCAATCTGGTGCTGGGCAGGCGGGGGGCCAGGAGGCACAGGCCAGACCTTCCTGTCCGGGGTGAAAATAACTGGTACCTTATCTGCAGCAGACTCATCACTTTGTTCCTGTGAATACCAAGGTCTTGCCCAATGGAATAAATAGTTTGGGCAAGACGCAATGAAAACAAAAAGTATCTAACAGGGAGGAGAGGACTCACAGCCTCCCAGGGATTCAGCATCACCTTCGAGAAAGCTGCTGACTGCATGTGCGTCATTCTGTTATGAAATCTGAAACAAGGGAGGCTCCCGAGAGATGCTGGCGGCAGCATCACATACCTATCAGCATCCACACGGCAAACCGGACCCAGGTGCCCTGGTCCAGCTGCATCATGAGATAGACGTTCACGAAGATGCTCAGGACGGGGAGCACTGGCAGGAAGGGAACCTGCAGAGACAGGACGCGGTGTCAGTCCACGGCAGTGGCGCCGGTTCCAACAGTTCAGTAAAACTGTCTAGCAAAAGGCAGCACACCTGAGAGAGACAGGGACTGTCGGGCGAGCGTGGGGAAGAGAGAGGGAGTGCCCACCCCCACCCCCACACCCCAACACACACCCCGCACCCAAACACACACACAAACACACCCAAGGGTAAATCTGAGTAGGTGGGGATTTGGTTCTAAGCTCTGAATGGCCAAGTGAGCTCCATTCTAATTTTCCTCTGTTGCGATTCTCCTGCTAAAGAAAGGACTAGAAGACAGACCTCCACTTTACCTCTCAGGTCAACAACCTTTTTTATTATTTCTGTAATCTAAAAATGCAGAAGCCATGCCCATCTCTAAGGCTTAGAAAATTCATGCAATCAACCTGAGCAGACATTTACGAGACGCGTCACACCACCCTGGAGGGACTGCTCCACGGGGTCTGCTATTATATATACACTTAGGGGCAAGCGGCTTCATCAGCAGCACCCTT